GAGAGAGAGAGAGAGAGAGAGAGAGAGAGAGAGAGAGAGAGAGAGAGAGAGAGAGTAAGCAGAAGGAACAGGGAGCAAGTTCCTGATCTCTGTGGGTTGAGTCGAGCAAACCTGATGTGTTCACCCCCAGCCATGCTCAATCCTGACACAGATGGACATATGGCCGCTTGTCCATAACCAATTGTACGAGCTGGCTGCGCTGACGTCGAATTATTGCACTGGGTTGGAACTTTGGTATAATGCACAGGGCTATGGAAGCTGCCACAGGACCACGAAAACACAGACTGGAAAGCGAACCCCATGTGACAACAAACGAGGTTGGTTGGTGTTCTTCGCCGTGCTTGATCTTCTACCATTACATAGCCGACAGCATGCTATCTTCATACTTTTTGCATGCTGTGCATGCTATCTCCAGATTCTTAGGATGTTGCATGCTATATCTGCAAAGTCCTTAGTTCTGTATCTACAAAGTCGTTCTCTCTCCCCTATCCCTCGAGAGGGGGCCACCTTTCAATTCCTCAGTTTTAGACAAAATTAAAATTTTAAAATTTAAAATTTCCAAATTTTCCATCGATTTTCAGATGTGTTTGCTATCGACGACACATTGCATACTGACACGTGCCCCGCGGTTGAATCGTACATACATGCCTGCTTTTCATACACAGGTCGGGAGTTCGAATCTTGGTGACGTACAAACACATTGCACACCATGTATGCATGCAGTGCATATCGCACGTTGTGTATATTCCATGCACACAGCCTCGTTGCATGCTGTGTTTGCAACTTCACAGTCTCTCCTACTTTCCGCCCGTCCGAGGTATTGTGATTTATCTGATATCTGATGATCTTCAAAGTATGCCTCTGAAGTTCTGAAGCACCTGTGTCCGTGGAAAGACCTGTTTTCCTCAGCTGGAGGTTTCCGTTATCATCTTCATCCTACCCCGTAAGCAGCATTGGCCGCGGGGGGGAGGTCGATGGTCTGCTGCGCGCCGGATTTGGGGTCGAAGTTTTGAGGAGGGCCGGCGGATGAAGGCGATCCAGGGCGGGGGAGTGTGCAGAGGGGCGCGCATACCGAAATGTTCACAGCGCGCCATTAAACGAGCGAGCGTGCCCACGGGGCCGGGCGGCGGCGGGCGTAGATGTGAGGGAATATCTTGAAGCCGCTGCCGTCGATAAGCG